TCTCACACATGAAAATTTTCAGTATTATACGAAATGTTCCATGAAAACGCAGCTAAATATTAATCCGCTCGTTACCTCGCATCAAAGCACTTGAATCCGCGATCACATCTTTAACGATGATAGGTATTACAAATTCCAATTCTCGCACATTCCGGATTTTCTTGTAATAAAAAGTGTTGCCGGGAAATGTGTGCTCGCTGATAAGTGCTGCGCATTATAGATAAGTATATGTTCCTTTAACACGTTAAGTCGCAGTATCAACTTTTAAATTTTTACGTGATAAAATTCTGCTAATATTCTGTTGAAGTGGCAGAGTAAGAAGGAATATTAAAATCATTTCATATAAAATGCTTTTAATAATTTTGAGAACTCGACGACACATATCATAAAGCTTAATTGTTCGTTGTATGTGCATGCACGGAAAGAATAATGATTTCGCTAAAATATCTAAAGATTTAGCTAGATACAGATCTGAAAATAATTTTGTTGAACTATCAAAATTATATAGGACATTCAAGCTAATTGCTAGAATATTACAACTTTTTGCAGCATTGCTTATTACGTTTGAATTTTCTACATGATATATTTTGATGATGAAACAAAATTATTTTCAGATCTGCATCTAGCTAAATTTTTATTTAAGTAAAATTATTTTTTTAGTGTATTCTACTTAAAAATGTAACATCAGAGAAATTTATATTTTCTAAATACCAAATTATTAAAGTTGAAAGGATATCATATCGTGGAAATTGCAATTTTTTTAAGAGAAAATTAATTATATTATCTAGCCGTATAGTCCGAAAAAAAATTCTGATTCTTCATTAATCTAACATTGTTCGATTATTCATCTACTATATATATTCATTTACTATATATAATTCATCTACTATAATGTTAGCTAAAATATACGAGTATATTACATAGTGTACAATATATGTTCATTTAATTGTAATATACAATAATGTTCATTTATTATATATAATTCATCTACTATATATAATGTTAGCTAAAATATACGAGTATATTACATAATGTACAATATATAAACATGACTACGCTAACGTATAAGCGACGCACTGTTGTTACCGAGCTTAAAGTATTCAAGATTACGGCTCCCGAAGTGCTGCAATCGTCTCTAACGAACCGGAGCTCGGTTTCATTTCCAGCGAACTGCCGTCGCTGAAGTTAACACGCAATAAGTTTCTCCCACGCGAGAGTTTGACGCGTTTATTAATCGTGAGCGACGCACAGCCCTGACGCAGCCCCGGTTCCCGACGACCTACACCTCGGAGGAATCCCTCCGAGGCAATGGCGGTCGGGTGTATTCGTGCGAATACCTTAACTTTGTCGCAGCAAACTCACGCCACTTCGTCGTCGTTTCAGTTTCAACTGTCTCATCTACATGGCGGCACAGATCGCATCGGGCATGCGGTATCTGGAGAACCTGAACTTCGTTCATCGAGATTTGGCTACTAGGTGAGTACAATAGGACTTTGCTGAAACGAATCTCTCGCGGATTCGCTTTCATCTCTCGAGAATAAACTTACGAGCGAGGCTTTATCGTCCTCAATCGGTATTCACTCTGTATCTAAACACTCCATGATTCTCGCAATGAGAGAAATGATTTTGTTATAAGAACAAATCAAGGGAAAGCAAATGCGACATTTGTTAACAAAATGATCGATTTATTACGATTGCAAATTAATTTGTCTGTGTAATCAATAGTTTGCAAATAAGAGGCTGATATAAAAGTCATAGATGATTGCAAGCTCAAATTCGTAAGAAATTGATCAATTCTAGTCAAGTATTCTCCCTATATTAGACTGGTTGGTTTCCTACGATTTAAGACTCCACGATCATCTACGAATTCTATGTAAACGAGTCTAAAGTTTATCCAAAAGATAAACTAAGATAGGTTAGATTCTATTGTATTGTATATACTTTGTTTCTGTTACTAATAATATTGGTTGGTAGCAGACTAATAGCAATCACACAACAAAATTTGTTGTCACATATTTACCGATCATCGGTTAAAGATACTGGTGGCTTGTTAAATTAACAAAATCCTTTCAATGGGTCCTCAGTTAGCATAATACGTGATTTATACATTAAGCGGCTACATAAGATTTTAAAGCGTAAAACTTAAGTTTTTAAATCCTAAACCGTAAAAAATTGACGCAATCATAATCGATTATTCTCCTCACGTTCGACTGTGATTGATTAATTTCTTACGACTTAGGACTTGAAACTTGAGTTTTACGCCTTAAAATCTCATTATAGACGCCGCTTTAGTTTAAGTAATACAAGCTTACAAACGATTACGCGTTAATAATTCTTTATGATGCAATTTTAACAGTCAAAATGACTATATCGCGTATATCTTTTTTTATTATATACATATATTCAACAGACAGTAGTATATTTCTGCAGATTCCGTTATACTCCACCTGCCGAGTCTTAGATTAAACGAAATTGGAGAATGGATCGGAGATTTGAATACAGACGTGAATATGAAGCTCTTTCTCGCGCGAGTGCACCGATGCGTGTCGAGAAGATGTAAGATTACAAGGGAATCTTCTCGGTCGACATGACGCGAGGAAAATTACAACGTTTTCGTGGCGGCAACAATATGCAGAGGGTTTTATAATTCCTAACGCAGCCGGGGTTGATCCCTGTGTCGCGGTTGAAAAACGCGATATATATATCTCGCTGCGCGATTTTTATTGAAAAGTAATTTCAAAAGTCGGTCGCGACCAAACGCATGGAAGAGGTATGGTATGGCACGGCGTGAATGTCGCGGCATGGTTTTTTTACGTTATTGCGGAAGGGATAAATGGATCCGTTACACTCTTGATTTATCTCCCGGCGTAAATTTACTCATCCTCCCCGTATTTTTCCCCATCTCGCTTTCCGCTTCATCGGCTAACAAGACTCCATTCGTGCTATCGACTTTAAATAGTAGCGAATCGAGATTATCTTTCGACGGATGTAGCCCTCACGATCTTGTTTGAGATTGTGCCGTCCGCTTTAATTGGCACAGTCTAATAATTAACAGAGATGTTCTCATGGTGTGTGCTTGTACTCGATAACGTGTACGTACGTAGAGAGAGGATTTTACCACGTCGAGAACCTGTTAAAATGGGATGGGGCACCGATATCGATTCCTTCCTCTTCCCCTCTCCATTACACTCTCAGGATGAAATTGAATTATACCAACCCCCGCAGTGCATTTCCATAAGCCCCAAAACAAACGGAGCCGAGAACCGCATGGGAAATCAACGATTTGTTAGTGAATCGTCGCAAGGTATGCGGCGAGAAGAGCAAGCAGCTAGTTTGTGAATGGTACTGTGACCTCGGTGTAGAAAATTTTGACGTTTTATTTGTTTCTATTTTCTATCCAATCGCATTCAATCGTCGTAACTATCTGGATCAGCTTATAATATTGTGTCCTTCGTAAACCGATCGCCAAATGATTCCTCCGGGTTTTTCGCAGGAGCAACCAACCTCAAAGTGCGCGACTTCGAACACACAATAGCCACCTTCCTCAATCCAACATAATGGCCTAATATTTGTCACGTTTGCAGTCGATTTTCCTTTCAACCTTCCTTTCACTACAAAAGGATATCTGCCTCGCATTAAGTATAAATAGAGATTAAGTATAAATCGGAAAAGGGTCGGGATTATTGTCTAAAAAGAAGAATTTATACATTTTTTATATGTTTCGATCCAAACACATCTTTAACTGAAAGCGCAGAACTGAAAATTTAAGTAAGCCTGTGCTGATAATGAAATTTTAATTCCGGAATACTTGCCGATTATTCTCCTTGAATTTTCCATCACAGATAACGCGCAGGCGCCCGTAAATTTAATGATGAAAATATTGCATTAGTATAAAATGTATATTGCACCGACTCATCTCATAGATATTACAATTAAAATCGATATTACAAATTACATTTATTATACTTATTCTATCATGACATTTTGCATATAGACATGTGTATCTTTTTCATACGAACTCCATATATTTTCAAACAGTCTCCATTTAATTTCCATGCTTCTAATATTGCATAGATAAATCTTCATGATGATCTTCAGGTCACATAACGTATACAGTAACCAATATCGGTAATCATCGATCTACGAATACAAAGTACACATCTCGTATATGAAACAAAGTCCATCTACGTGGCTGTTATTGAAATGCAATGGCCATCTCGTTGAATCGATAGGACGTTTAGATGCACATATGTGCATATATGTATATCTTCCGCACACACGCGGGCGCATATTCGTGCAAACCACCGAGTTCTCATAGCACGTGGGACCTAGTTTCCGGCTGGACAGTGTCTCTCAAACCCTCGCTCGTAAATCTTAATGTATAGCGAGAGACACTTCCTGCGAAGCTTTCATGACGATATCAGCCCTGTCAGCATTCCTAAGAGCTTTTGACATGGTTCGACCCATCGATTGCAGAAATATCGTTCAGAAGTATCGTCAAAACTACTTCTGTGTCATCCCTATCTCCATGTACTCCATCATAAAGTCATATACAACAAAATATTGATTTAGATGAACAGAAATATACATATATGTATATAAGTAAAATCCGAAATAATTCGCATTATTATATTAATTGTACTAAGATAATAATTTTAAACTTATATATATGATTGCGAGAAGTACTCACTATGTTCGATATTCACTGGTATTCGAAACGAGATATCTTTACGCTGCTCACATTTTCATTAGCATTTTTCATGACAAAATGCTAATAGTGTTGCAAATTTCAAAATATTTTCGAGAGCATTCGAGGGAATGGAATGTCCGCGTCTGTGATTGCAGCAGCCATAGATAATCCTTTGGTTAAATTTTTAACATGCCACACACGGAGCTTTATAAAAATTTGTGCGATACGTTATCCTTCTCTGTGCTTTTGTGAGAAAAAAAGCGGGGTACGATCCGATCGCGTTGCAAATAGATCGATGCCTTTTGTATAGGTACCGGGATTTAATCAAAATTTAATCAGAATTTAATGGCACCACCGCTGAACTTCCACTTTGATGGCACACGTCAGCGTGACGAACCGACGATATTCAGTGAAATACGCGACCGTATGGGAATTCCACCGTGGGGCATAAATTCTTCGTGACTGGCGGCGTCAAAAGAGAAATGGACATTGCGGGTATCAATAGCGCGCACGCGATACTTTGGAAATGCATTTTTGCCCTTTCTATATCGAACGACCTTTGCGCGCGATTTATCTATCGCGATAAACGAGAAAGAGCGAAGCGAAACATTTATATTCATTTAAATCGAACCGGACGAAGGATTCCGAACTATAGAGTTTAAACGTTATCGAAACCGGTTGGTCGAGTACCGAGGATGTTCTACCGATTCCTCCGCTCGAGACAAACTGCCAATCCATCGCAGGCTCTTATTTCACTCGCGAATGCGCGATGTAGCTATAGAGTCATTGTCGGAGCCAAGCCAAGTGAAAAAGAAGGAAGGGATCGATTGCTGATCAAACGGTAATGCAATTCAATTGGCTCGAATGGAAAAAGAATACCAACGAATGAGAAGATCGATAGCTCTATGTAATGCTTTAAAGATGGAAAGGATAGTGGATTCGCGCAATACGAGTGTTTGACCAACCGGAAAAAATATAAAAAGACCAATATTATACGAACGAAAGTAAAATCTCGCATTACAGTACAACTCGCCAATAACGCTGATAATGTTATTCTATTAATGTGCGACATCAGAGATTGGTGATAGTGTGGGTACACTATGAATAAATGTACGTCTAAAGGAGTAGAAATAGCAAAAGCCTGTATTCTGTATTCCCGCATGTGGGTATTTTGCATTCCGGTAAAAGAGATTTCCTTCATCCTATTTTGAATCACAAATGTACCGGACGAGTTTTCTTTCGTTTTCTTTCTGACAACAAGTGTAAGTAGTACTCGATATTATGTCTAATATTTTTTTTTTCTACTGTTCATTCTCACATTCAAAATATAGTTTTAGTTATGCAATTTCTAATTTCAATTTAACCAAAAAAAATGCAATATAAACATTATTACGTTTCTCTGTAAAGGAAAAATTTGTTTCTCAGATAGAAATAGTTTTTGCTAAAAGATCCGAAAATACTTTCGTTCATATCTTCTCTCTTGCGGCAAAATTCTATGCTTTTCTTTGCGGCAAATATAGACAAACTTTAATACTAAAGTATTGCGCGTTTAACTCGTAATACAGCTATTCGGCCTCGCAGATCCCAACATTGGATTTAAAATGTAACTTCAAGCGATAGAGGAAGCCCGATTCTCCTTATCCACCCTCGAGAATACTGATAGAACTGAAGACTGTAGATATGCAAGAATTTTATTCTCCGCTGACGAGAGCTTACGTGTTCGAATAACCGGTTAAAAATTCAAAGAAGTCGGCTTTTCTTCTACGCTTACTTCCTCGCCGTACTCCTACCTGAGAAATCTTTCGATGATTCATTTGTTTCTTTTCCAATGCATATCCAATATTCAACTTTCAATCTAACTTGAGGCCGAACGTCCGACTTCAATATTGATACGTTGGAATCGACTTCAATTATACAACCGCGTCAATCAGCCAAGTACACTTAACGTTTCTATTCCTATTGACAATAGCGCTCGTGCTTGCGTCAAATGGCCAAGTGATTCCGAGTTTAACTTCGACTTGCAACTTGCACAATGACAGGGATGATTCTCTTTATCCATCGAAGAAGTCGTCGTGAGTTGAATGTAGATATTCTGCTTCCTTCCAAGAAAGCTTGTCTTTGTTCCGATTTTGATTACAGACACGAAGGAGATCTTTCGTCATGCTCAACATATCTGATTTTTTTTTCCTGATCCTTCTTCCTCACATTTTTACGCGTAAAACTATTCGTAATATCATCAATTTCTTGTTTCCCTACAATAATTTTAGATTAAAATTCTGTTGTATAAATATAAAATAAAAGATGAATAATGAATAAGTTAAGAAACTAATGATTTTAGTGGAATTTTATTATTAAATATGATTTTAATTATATTTTGTTATTATTTTAATTGACAAAGATTTAATTGACAAGTTCTGAATAATTACTCTCATAATCTGTTGGAATTATTAAAATTTAGGTAATAGAAATTAATGATTTTGATTTGCATAGAGAGCATAGCGTTTTCTATTGTATTAATATATATAATACATTTAAATAATATATCTGTGTAAAATTTCTATATGCATTAACGAATTACCTACTAATATGTTTAAATCCTTAAATATTTGAAATAATCACATAAAATAATTTTAAATTTATATTACAATATCATGAATGTGTAACAACGCATATTATTGGAATTAACTATAAATAACAAATAATATATTAGTAAGCATTAGTCTATCTGATATCCGGATATTAGGCAATTAAAATTTTATGAGACATAAATTTTACACAGATTTCGAATCTCCGTGATCAGGATTTATTATTTTTGGTAATAATGCGAGCGATCAAAGTTCTAACCATCATATTATGGAGCGGAGATCATCACACCTGATTTATACTGCAACAGCTTCAATACGAGGCGTGAACGCGGCTTATTGCATTACTGTCGTACTCTACAATATAGGGAGAACCGGGGTCAACTCTGTCGACGCATGGCGAAGTAGCCAATAGCAATGATCGATAAAGCGCCCCTAATTAACCAGGTTCTGCTGCCAAATTGGAGCTTTGTTCCGGCGGTGAAATTAATTGATTCTATCTATTCCATACCCATACTATTCAGATAACGTTTGGTTAGTCGTCTCTCAGATAGCGAAGATTAGTTCGTCTTTAAAGCGAACTGGTCAATGACTGAAGCTTTGAACGGAAGTTGTATGAATGCTTATCCATCTGTAATTGTAAGTTCTCCTCAGGGAAATACTTGAACGTATCTCTAGTTGAACCCGCTCAAAGGACAAACGAGATGAAATATCAGACGTATTCGTGATAAGAGATATAAGTGATAAGTAATTACGTCTATTACATATTAAGATTAAATTTATATAATTACAAAACTTCTATTATCTCCGCAGATACTGTCAAACGGATAAATTTTTTATATCGAGTTTTTCTCTTAAAAGAAACATTTTACGATTACTGCTGTGATAATTTAATGTGGAGAAAGTTTATTCACGCATCGAGTATAATTGCACATTCGTGTGTGTTTGGGCAGGAAATGCAGCTCGACCACATACACGAGTAAATGTTACGTGCAGACAACCATTCTCGCTTCCGGTTGACTGCCATGCACAGAATGCGTATGCGTATGCAGATTGTACGCTATGCACTCCACGCGGCCACGTACCGGCGAGAGATCAATCTGGCTGGCTTCGTCTCTTTCGTTTTCAGACAAGCCGCTCGGAAAAGTATTCAATTCGACGCGCGCGAATGTGTAACGAAACTCTCTGTTCAATTCCTAGAAATACTCGAGCTATCCTAAAGCCTTAAGCGCTATATTCCGCTCGAACGATTTGCGGAGATTATCGAGCAACACACGAAAATCAATGTAAAATGATGCGGATTTTGAATTTTCTCTCGGCATGATAGAATAGAAGAAATAATTTCACTTTCTCTATACGTTATAATTTTGTTTGTAGAAACTGTTTGGTTGGTAAGGCTTATCACATCAAAATCTCGGATTTTGGCACGGACAATGAACTGTACGCCTGCGATTACTACAAAGTTGATGGAACTATGCCGTTGCCGGTACGATGGATGGCATGGGAGTCAATATTTTTGGTAAGCTGTGGCCTCAACTATTTTATTTCGAATGACACTTCACAATATGTCGAGATTTATCGGTAATTCTCGAACCGCTGCAGGCGCCGAAATTCTCAAATAATGTGTTAAATCCGTTAAATCCGATTTTCAGGGAAAGTACACGACCAAGAGCGACGTGTGGGCTTTCGCAGTCACCCTCTGGGAGATTTTGAATCTTGGCAGACGTGTCCCCTACGAACATCTGTCCGACGAGGAAGTGGTGCAGAGCCTGCGGCAACTGCATCATGCCGCTGACTGCAGCAATGCCAATCCTGAAGACAGTTGCAAGGAAGATCCTAGAAACGGCTTCGATTATCTGCCTCGGCCCACCGCCTCCTCCAAGGACATCTACGATCTGATGCTCGAGTGCTGGCAACGAGAGGAAACTGAGAGACCGACTTTCCGTGAGATATCGCTCTTTCTGCAGCGGAAAAATCTTGGATACGCTCCAACATCCTGATATTGAGCCCCCAATTTCAGCGAGCGCGACATTCTTAGTAGTCATACAAATCGGAACAAGTTTGTTTCTGAAACGAAACGACGAGTGTACAATGACGGACAACGTTCTTATCCGAGATATTGCAAGAAATAACAAGCGAATAATGATTGAATGAGAAAAAGAATTGAGAAAAGAAGATGAGAGATACGATGAGAGGACATATTACGTATCGCGACATCGAAATAAGTACAACATGGAAATTTATTGTCCGTCAACGAAACAAGGTTTTGAAACTTGGAGTTTACGACAGAAATCGATTGTCCTTCTATTTCTCCCTATTCATACGTGTACTTTTTTCGGACAACGAGTATTAACAGACAGGAAATAAAGTTAGAATAGTAAATAAAGATAGAAGAATTAAGTGCGAGTTGAATCTTTGAGAAAATCTTATGATATGAGATTTGTTGAACTACGAATAGTAGTTCAAGATATATCGCGTGCCGCGTACAACTGATCTTCGTAGAATTCTCAGTAGCGAGACTATTCGAGCATATCTAATCGATTTAGGACACTAAGTACGGATCTCGCGAGTATTCACGGCAGAGTATATAGTGCGAAGATCTATACTGGAATAAACCTATTACTCTTTTCGAAAATGTAAGAAAAGACAAGAACGGATGCGAATTAGAAAATACGACAATCGAACGAAAGCGGAATAAAGAGTTTGTCGTAGATAATCGCTCGACAAAGAATCTCTGAGGGTATTTGAAGGATATTGGACGTTTGTGAGGTAATGAAACGAGGAGAATTTTCTCATCAGGAACTTAGGAGCAATATCGTATGTAACTGTAATACAGCTGTGAACATTCCTGCACGGATGGGTACCTATACTGCGCAATTAGACAATTACGCAAATAGGAAGAATCATTACTTAAAGATTAGGGCTCCTTCGAGATTATATCATTTTGATTAAGGATTCGATGAGAAATGTGTAAATCACATTGACGTACGGCAATATAGCAACTACGATATTAGACGCTACGAATGTTCGAGTTAATATCGTAAAACATTATAACTGTATTTTATGAACGTGTGGGTGCCTATTTCTCCCTTTCTCTTTCGCTCTCCTTTACTATCTTTCAACATATTATATTGGTATCGTCCCTAGACACTCTGGGCCTATTTGTGAGACGAATCTACATGTGATTTACATCGTGAAATCCTTTATCGTCATAAGACATATCGCGAAATAGCGAAATAATTATTATCGTGATGCAATAACGCATCAATGAATTATCTGATAATAAGAAAATTAAACGTCTTTTTAATAATACTTTTGGTTCGTATCTAAACAGAGATTTGTGTGAAACGTAATGCATGTGAGAATACTGAATTAACTTCAGAAGCAGTCAAGTGACTGTAAAGATTTCTCGATAATACATGTTTATTCGAATGTAACTACTGCAATCACAGTTAATGTGAATGGGATTTGTTGTCATAACTGATGAATATCATATGTCGTAAGCGTAAGGTAGACGAAGGGTAATGTTTTACCTATTCTGCATTGAAAGATGGTAATAGATTACGTATCATGACTATGACACATCATAATTGTAACTTTATATGATAGGCGGGATCAATGAAATTAGAATATTGTACATATAGGCGTATCGTAATAAGGAAACGTTATCATTACATTTTTTCAAGAATGACGAATGAAAATCGAATTGTCTTTGAGATAGCGAGAACGCCACACGCGCTCGCTGGTAATTTGGTATTAATGTGGAAACGATGGCAATTGTTTAGCTTCCGGTAAGTTATATATCCATAGCAAGTGGTAATAGGTTGACGAAAGTTTAACATATCTGTAGAATGTACTTTCTTATAAAATTTAAAAAGAGAAAATGCGCGAAGGAAAATGAGTCATAATCACTTTCAAACACTTCGAAATTAACGGGCTTATATCCGTTGCGCGTTTTCGTTGTACTCGATTTTGATAATATATTTCAATTTATTTTAAGTTCCGTGTATTTATATCAGATGGACTATTATAACTTATGCGATATTTAGCGGATAGACGATGTTACCGTTATATCATTAAAATACTATTTATATAAATTAACATAATACCGCGTGAGGAGTAGAGATGGTACGGAGGCATAGCCATATGTAGTTGAAATATACGCGTTGAATTTAAACGTAACTGGAATTGCTTCTATATCACCGAAATCGAGATCGTCTAAAGCGAGTGGAAGAGAATTATAATTAATGCGAATTCGCGTATAAATTTACGAGGTAAGAAATAGGCAATATCAATTTTTGATCTTGCCAGAAGTAAATAGTAATAGCCAATCGATTAAGCCTAAGATTGTTAAGTCTAATTTACATTTTGCATAAGAGTATCGGATGATCAACAGACATATAATAATTTCGTGTTATCGCGAAACGTTTTGGCCAATCGATTTTTCGCACCGATTGTGACTGAGTTGAAACAATAATACTACCCATCTCTCTCGTTGGTACATTTTTAGTCCGAAGCAAACTGCCATTATATTTCTAGATGATAATAGAAAATGAATTGTAGTTGCGTTTAGATTCGCCAATATAAGCATAACGCTGCCTTTGGCTATATTGTTGCCCTTTACTGCTAACGAGTAACTTACTTGTCTACTCATGTGATAATTTAGTATATTTCTACGTATCTACCTGTACCTACCAATTCAAAAATCTTCATGGCGAAAGGATTATTCCAAATATAAAAACTTTGTTTTTACTATAAATCGTAGTTGAGATAAAATATTATCTATAATCAATTCTATATTAATAAAAATCTGAAAGGAACAATTATGAAGAATAATGAGAATTCAGATCTTACGTTTAGGATCTAGCAGCTTTATATAAATCCAAAATGCAGCTGCTCCATAATTTATAGTTAGTGACGTTAGTGAAATAGGATAATATACTCATAAAGAAAATATGCGTAATCCTTTCTCTATGCAAAGATTCGCTATTATAATCTAGATAACTTACTTCTACCTAGCGTGCCCTTTTTCCAATGATGATTAATTATATTCTTTGTGAACAATTCGAGCTCTATCAATGGCGTCAATGAAGTAAATGTTTGGAACTGCAGTAACAGGGACGAGTAAAAATATTTTGTTCAAGCATTGTGAGGTACGAACACGCTAGATCCTTATGAAATTTCATTTTTTGAAAACCCTACATATATTGATAAGCTCGATTTCAAATACTTACTTGCAATGACATTTCCTTATCATTCAACTATATACATTGCTGATTTCTTCGATGTACATTTTAAATGCGTATTATTGACAATCACGCTTGCCTCGGAATTTAGAAAATATATTTAGTATCAATCGCAACTTTTTTAAAATACGATTATAACTAACAGAATTAACATTTTATAATTTATAAAATACAATAATTTAAAGACACGATCTCTTCTTTATCATAAATCTTAATTCTCAAAAATAAATATAATTTTATTAGCGCGAAAAAAAATATTAGATTTCTTATACATAAATCAAATAATATGCTAATAAAAACCATTTTAATTATCATGTTTTCAAGATAAAAACGAACATTACAGTTATACTCCGTTAAAGATGAACGTTATAGCTCCATGAAACTACATCATTAAAATCGTCATTAATGTTATGCATTCGCGTATATTGTATACCATGTTATGCTTAATTTAGAAATCATTTCAGATAAATTTAAACTACATCGTACAAAGTGGTATATCATTATGATTAAAAGATTACGGCAATGAAATTAATATATTTATAATCGTTGATAAATTTTTTCTTTCGTGCACGAGCGAAATATAATTTCGATATACCGTATTGTTGACCTCTATGGTGGAATTGCGAGGAATTTACAGGTAATCGTGAATAAACTGAGGAAGAGCTCATCTAGTTGTATTTTCTATCTAGGTAGGGGCAACACTCACGGCTATATCACTCGGCTACGTATTGCACACTTTTAGACATTTCCTTCCTAAAAAAATTATCCGATAGACGAAATTCTCAGGATTAACACAAAAAGTCTTCGATCTTTAACAAGAGAATTGCAGCGAAACTGACCATTGGCCATGGTGAGTTGCCCATGCCTGTTCTACGCTATCAAACCTTGATCGTTATAGTCATAAAATTATTTTGTACTAAGAACTGTTTATAATTTTGTATCTAATCTCTGTAAATATCAAGCAGATTGTCTATGAGTAATAAAGCTTGAACAAACTCGATTTAAGTAGACTATATATAAACGGGGAAAAAGTATATATATATATATATAAATATATATAAATATATATAAATACAAGTATTTATAATACATTTATATTTTATTTAGTCGTAAGGCAGCGAAGAGATGTAAGTAAATTTCGCGTAAGCGGATCGGTAACGTAACAATGTACAACGATCTAGAAATTATTTGTATTATAAAGATGACAATTAAGGGACAAATCATAAAGGTATACATGTTACTCAGTAGCCGTGTATATATATACATATACTATACATCTAGAATCTACCTAGTCATGTACGACACTTTATAACAATTAAAGTGTATCCCTGACAACAAATGCAAAATGCAACGTGTACTGTTCTTGAAGATTCTTGCTTGAATAGAGATAACACAGAATACTGATGCGATCGACAACCATCGAGGAGAGGTTGAACTTTTCAAGCGAATTATCATTTCAATTTCGCCACAAAGTTCGCTCATCTCGATTACATTGCTACATATAAGTGCAGGTAAATTCTACCGAATTCATAAACTTTTGTGCGTCGTAGACCTGAACACATCATTTATATAACTTACATGTGTATATCATTAAAGAAACAACATACAACTTGTAAGTTCCATTATCCATTATTCATGAAGCACAACGATAAATCTATTTGTATTGGAAAATCAAAGTCATATCACTTATTTCATGGAATTCCTATCATCCCATAAACTCTCTTTGCATCATGTTACATTAATTTGTATCAATAATTGCACTAAAATACATGTATGTAGCTTAAAAAAAACAAAGTTTTTTTTTCGTCAAATAAGAAAATCACAATTTTCTTTTATTCTTTCTTTACCATATTTTATTTTCTTATAATTCATATTCATTCCCGCTTTTTTCTTCAGGATATCTATTGAGAGGGCGTTAGGTAGATTTGCAAGCTACGCAACTGTACGACTGACAGATCCCTAATAATATTTATTCGATGCTTGTATGAACGAATGAATGAATCTCATTATCAAACATAACAATTATATGTATAATGTTCGAATTTGTTTATTTAACTATAAATAAATTGAAGAAGTAATAACTTTGAGAATTTTACATTTGAACCGCAAAAATGAATGATTCATTGTGGGAAAATTGTAAATAAAGTGAAGTGAATTGAAAATTGAACGAAAATGTTGCCGCATATGTTGTATATATAAAAATGAAAAAACAACTATGAAAAATGTTTGCAAAAACAAAATAATTTAAATTCACGAAGAGAGGAAAAAAAAAGAAAAAAATTGTTTTACAGTATTATCTTTGCTTCAAAGAAAAAATTACAACATTTACAAAAATTAAATTTAGAACATTTTTACAAATAAAGACCTTACATATAATCAGATTCTAGCCGATGTAGTCTTGTGATTGGTCCGACATTTTTTCTTTAATTCGCCACAGTTGTTTCAAAATGTATTTTATTATCTAGCATTTTTTGACAATGAATTGTTACAGAAAAATGCTGATGCATCCAATCATTTTTATTCGGAAAGAAATACTTATATTTAAATATTATGCAAAATTGAGAGAAAAAATTGGACTACATTACGGCTCCACACATAATACTTGCAACGCTGACAAGTATTTGTTCTTGTTTAACATTTGATAAACAACAAGGACGAAAGAATTCCACGAATATTGTGTCTTATAGCGTTTTCTCTTGGCTGCACTATCGCCCACTAGTGCAACATTCAGACAGTGTACGATGGCTGGTAGTAAGCGAATTCATTCAGTGTTTACGTGGCTATGTAATGCAAATTTTCTGCATGAAGTGGGATTTTGCTACACCATCTCAAAGAAACGGTGTAGAGCCAGTGCGACATTTAAAATTTGAAAATGGAAGCGGGAACAGAGTTTTAGCGTGATAATGATACAAGGCGACACAAGTGTCATTTTATTTTTGTCACTTTCTGAATGTCAATAAGGATAGAACGACACTTGTCAATTTGTATCATCAAATGAAAAGCAACTACATGCAACTGGTGCAGTGCGAGGCTGCACCCAGTGTAGTTTCCAAGAAAAAACTATTAAATGGAACGCAGCCTATGTATGTTATGTCCGCCAGAAACTATGAAAATTATAGAGCTGCTACATTTACGGTGCCACTGCAGAGTAAGAGAGAGAGATAGCACTTTCTTTCTCGCACAATTTTGAAGAAAAATGCCGGACGTTGTTGTGGTTAGACTTCGATTACAGTCTTTATTTACAAATACATTTTCATATGTCAACAAAATTTGAGAATCATCTGATATGATTGATGTAGACATAGATATGTTTTATATTATACCACCAAATGGCGAAATACCGTTTTATATTATGGAAGATTGTATTTTGACTAGATTAGATTATTTGAGGCTTCTAAGTGAAGGGTCTGCTAATGAATTTGATGGGAAATTTGAGTACTTATTAGAAAATTCTACTTACGATAAAATTGGACATTTTATATTAAGGTGAGTATATGTTAGAATTTTTTAGACTATAATCTTTAATAATTAAATATAATTTAAATATTTATAAAGAATAAGTAATATACAATTTAAAAAAGTTCATGTGTCTAAAATAAAGGAATTACACAGATAGAACTATAAAAATCTATATTCCTAATTAATTAAACTTTGTTATTTACTGTTTTAGGTTATTAGCTTCTGCATCGTCAGATTTATGTATATATTGGATTGGCAAAGAATCATTATTATTTAAACATAGATTAGATAGTCTATCACCTAGACGATTACATAAATTATTAAAGCAAATTACATGGAAATTACAAATATTTAAAGATAAGAAAAGTACAATTGACACAACTCTCATTGAGTTATGCAAATTTTATTTGCAGCCCTTAGTTTTTAAACATCTGACATCAAATTGTCACGATTGCGATAATTTTCGATACGAAAGTATGAATACAGAATGTTATTTGTATATAAAAAATTTTCAAATAAACTAATTTCGTATTTCATATTCCAGTGAGATTTGAAATAGTATCAGATTTGGTGAAAGAAAGAGAACTAGCCCTTAATAATGGAAATGTCATCACGCACTGTTCAGATTGGAAAAAAGTACTTCAATTATTATTTAGTAATTATATAATCAATGAAATGAATATCATAAAGAAACAATCTCAATATATGATAAAACATGATCTTAGATTCCATATTTTAAATCAGAAAATTCAATCCTATCTCTTCAATGAAGGTGTCTCGCATGGAAAAGTAACTATTGATAACATAGAAGCAGAAGCACAGAAATTCCCATTATGTATGCAACATTTGCATTCTTTATTAAGAAGAAGACATCGTCTCAGTCACTATGCACGTTTATACTACAGTCTTTTTCTGAAAGAAATAGGAATGACCCTGGAAGATTCAATTGTATTTTGGAAGCAAGAATATTCCAAGCCACATACTTGTACTTCAGTATGTTCACACAATTGGCAATCCAATGAGAAAAAATTCATATATAGCATCAGGCACATGTATGGTTTAGAAGGATCGCGAAGAACTTACAAGACGCCTGACTGCAATTTCATTTGTGTAAGTACAAAAATATTACACATGCATACAAAAAATCTTTTCTAAACTTTATCTTTTCTACATAAACTTTATTATTAGAATTACTTTTTCAAACATCGAAATTATTGTAGGTTGGTATTAGTGGAGCAACATACGAGGGTGGTTGTCCTTTCAAGGATTTTGATACGAGTGTACTCAGAAATCTTTTACAAGCTTCAATAAATGAAAATGAAATTGAAAAGTTTATAAATAACGTATCTACTAAAGATCCAGAAGTTCTCTGCACTACATTTCTGAAACTCGTACACGAAAATGATATTAACGACGCCATTGTCAAAAATCCAGTACAATACTACCAAAGAATGATTAATTAATATCAATTCTTTTTTCGTAATGAAAAATGTATACAATTATTGCCTTCATTTATACCAGAATTTTTTGTTATTCAATTCAAGATTTTACTAATAAATTTATTTTGTAGATATTACAAAATAATCATAAAGATAAATAAATTATATTAATGTTTAAATCATTATTTGTTATTAAATGATTGCAGAGCATCTTCTACAACACAACGACTTACACCATCTTCAACTAATACAGCATGTACTCCAAGTTTACCAACTTCCATAACATTTCTAGCCTCATCATCAAAAAATATCATATCTTTATAATCAGTGTGCGAACTCTTTCGAATGCTGAAAGCAATATAAATTGTAATTTTAAACTACTATACAATTACCCTATTAAACTACTATATAATTATACAATTACTTTATCCTTTATGAATATTACACAAGACTTACTTAGAAAAATGTGTGACTTTGCTGCCAGGAAATATTTCAACATACTTGAAATATTTCTTCCAGCCAAATGCATCTATTAATTGTTTAGCCCCTTTTATCTCTGCTGTACGTGATGCTATACCTAATTCATATCCTTCTCCTGATAACTGTTTTAATACCTCAGGAACATCAGAATAGTGATCCACGTCATAACCACGTGCATCTATTACTTTATTTTGTGCTCTAAAAATTTTCTTCTTTAAGTTGGACAAAAATTCTTAAAATACTATATAATCTTATCAGTTTTTAATGCACGCACCCTTTTTTAAATGGTGGCTCTACAAAACTCTCTACCCAAAACGGCCATAAGGTATAATCTGAAATGTAATATTCTTTCCATTTCTCCAAAAAAATCACATTCTAAATAATTCTTATCAATATAAAAAAAGATAATTATAAATTTATCATACATCTAAATTATAATATTTACAACTTCGCCTGTAAGTATATACCTAAATCAAAGACGATAACTTTCGGTTTTTTCTCCATTTGTTCCCTTATTGACTTATAAGGAGACAAAATTAATCAGTGACAAAGCACTATCACTAATATGAGTAATTTTCTTACATAAATAATAAAACTACAAATCTCTCACACGGTGAGTGAAAACCTAACTTGACTTAATTCCTTCCATTACCATCTGCACCTATTTCGATTAGTAAGTTCTTACTCTAACCGCTAGAGGGTACTAGAAACAATTTTTTCAAACGAATACTCGTAGAATTAATTAACGGTCTTCATCAAGTATATACATATACTAATCACATTTTAGAGGAAACAATCATGATTACCACTTTAATTGCTATTGTTAATGTTAGTATCAGTTAATAATTATTTTGATTAACTCGTTTGCATAATTAATTTAATAAAAAAGGGAAAACTCATCACACAAAAACTTATACGATTGCACGGAGTTCATCTGACAGACCTGTCACGCATCCACGCTTGATCTATACAAAATATTACATATAATAAATATTTACATATAATAATTATTCAGAAGTTTTCTTGATGCTTCCGATATCACATGTTTAATTATTTCCATACGATATAATTACAAGTAATGACTTAAAATTGGATATGATGAGAAGAGAGGCTACAGTCACCTAAGTATCTCTCATTTAATAAAGCAAAAAGAGTATAATCAATACATTAATTATATATAAATGATATATATATATATATGATGTGTACGTACGACGATAATTCCGTGGTAATTGTGCTTCGCCACTGCAAGAAGTATCCAAAAGAGACACAATTATACACACACACACACACACACACACACACGCACGCACGCACGCACGCACGCACACATCAACAAAAGCATTACAAGCCGCATCGCTCGCATCGATCGCACTGATACTACATTCGTTTGTTCGCCTTGCATGCTCCAACATGCTCCAACATACTCCTTTTGCCTTAGTTCGTACTCACTCCGAGCGCGTTGGAGCATGTTGGAATATATTGGAGTACGCGAAGAAACGAAGCATGACGTATGGCTCCTGCAAACTAATGGAAACGACGCTTGCCACACGATAGAAGTTATCGCACTAATCAATCATTCTATTGGCTCCCGTATAAAAAACGCGGGAACGCTTGCCGCGCAGCGGAAATTGTCGCTGACCAAACATTTTATACTCTTAAGTCAGCCTCACTTTGCAAAACTTTTGAAAATTATGTAATATTACTTCCACCGTGAAGCAAAAGTTAAATTGAGTACAATTTTTGTTGCGCGGTGAAAATTATTATATCTATTACTTCCGAACAAGCGAAACACTACAATAACTTCCGCGCGCACGGAAATTTTACCATGTTTTTTGGGCGGAAGCCATTAAGGTATATCCACACAAACTTATTGCATCATTTCTAGAGAAGTTTTATAAAGTGAGACTTAGGCTAATTCTACAATATAGAATACACAATACGACAACTTTCGCGCGGCAAGCATTATGGTTCCTACACACTGGACGCGGAAACGCTTGTCGCGCGGCAAAATGAGACGCGATAACCAATGAACATAATAAAAGTTGTAAATTTGGCTACCGCATTACATTTCGCCGTGTGATGAACGTTTCTACGTCCAGTGCAGAAGCCATTAGGATATATTCACACAAGCTTACATAGCTGCATAAACATATGCATAAAGAGAATTATCCAATCACATTTTACGTGCGGCTTTATAAGAGAAATGCGATTTGTTAATGTTCTTTATGCATATTTATGCGACTATACAAGTTTATATGAATATATACCTTTGAGCCTTTTTCACCAATTTTGATCTGATTACTAATCGATGACTTAAGTCTGCGTTCAGCAGAACACAATAGTTTTACAATGATCGGGTGCATCGCGCATTCAAGCCGGACAAAACTGCTAGCCTGTTCGCCGAACGATTGATATGACTGTTGTGGTTAGTTCTACAAATAATACCAATCATGTTTATTTGACAACAAGAATAAAACGACGCTTGTGTCGACTTGTGTCATCAAATGAAAAGCACCCAATGCCAGCATCGCAGTACAATGGCAAAATTCTAATCTAGCTAACAATCCAGCAGGAAAACAAGTATTGTGTGCAACAGACTTAAATTATTGTGAACAAACGTGTTTCACTTCAACTTATTGCTCCGTGTGCATCAGTTCAGAGAGTGCAGCAATAAAAAACAGATTGTTTCATGATTGTTCAGTTTCTTTCAAAAGAGGAAGAGAGGGGAGAAAACTTCTGTGAATTGATCGGTAATTAATTTCATCAGAAATTGGTGAAAAAGGTCCTTAAAATGACATATTTGAACGTTAAAAATAGAAAAAGCGAAGATACTGAGAATACAAAGTACAAATAACGCGAACAGACCTTTTATTTTAGACCCTGCGCACAATAGAAAGAATAAAGAATTAGGAATAAAGAATAAATGATTTTAATTTATCAGAAATCGGATACATCGGAATACACGATTTTTGAAATCGTTTATTCTTTATTCCTAATTCCTTATTTCTTCTATTGTGCGCACAACCTTATGCCCATATTCAGTTAAACCTTAAGGCTTCCTTAAATTTATCTTTAGATGCTCAATAACCAATGAAATAATTCGAGTAGAGTATCTGAAGATAAATTTAAAGAAGAATTTAAATATAAGGCCTGAATATGGACATTAATATTTAAAACAGCTTATCATTAGAGAAATCAAAGATTAAAGGCGACATTAAAGGGATATGATCTGATTAGCTGTCTAAAACACGTTATCAGAGCGCCATTTTAATTCATTATTGCGTATAATTAGAGTCCTTGGACTCTACATATAGAGTCTAATAATGTAGTATGTACTATTAAATACATACTATCAGTACGTATTATACTTTCTTCTTTTTTTAACAATTTAACTTTTTTCATGTAATGCATCAGCTGTAAAAGTGCTTTTTCATATCGTCGCTCATTTTCGACATCAAAATAAGTCAGATAGAAATTGACGAATAGCGTCAATTTTTATCTTGTGATTTATTTTGACGCTGAAAATGAGCGTCATGAAAAGGCATTGAATTAAAATGGCGATGACAACCTAACCCAATTGACGCATGTCGCATCTCTGGTTTCTAGGACTCTAGTCGTCATCTGTTGGCATGACTGGCATTCGTCATTTCAAGCCCACCAACGAGAACCAATGGGAGTCGTCGTACGCTACTATTCCAACGTTCAGCGCCCTGACCATCAATTTGAAGTGATTTTCAGTTGTGCTGCCGTTAAACGGTTACGTGTGTTCGACGTGTTTACGTTGTATCGTTTTTATAAAATCGTACGAGATGCCGGATTTTAAAGAACAGTACAAAAATCCTCGTCTAGGATTCGGCGACACGAATCACAGAAGATATCTGCGTGCTTGTAACTACGATAAATCTCGTAGGGAAGCCAGAACACGGACTTTCGACAAACATCGCAACCTGCAAAACGATTCATCGCCAACAAGCGTGCAACACGGTAAATTGAAAAAGAATTCTCATTTAACGTGACTTATACATGATAATTAAATATCGCCAAAGCTTTCATTTCTACCAATGTAGATTGATTCCAATCTCGGTTGAACTTGTTCTTCATCTTTTTCTAATTCTTGCCTATTTTTATTAATATAAATTAACTTCAATCTTGATTTAATTTATTCTTTATCCTTTTTTAATCTAATTGGTAAAAAAACAAGCATCAATTAGATTAAAAATAAAAAAAGACTGGGAATTAAGCTACATGTTTGATTTTAAAATTTAACTATCAGATATTTTTACTTCTATTAAGGCCCGATTGCATCAACGTACTTTATCTCTAAGAGAGGCTTAAAACTCTCAGTTTCTCTCTTTAAAATCGAAAAAGAGGAAGAGATAGAGAGAGTTTTAAGCCTCCCTTAAAATCAAAGTAATATTGATTCATGCAACTGGGCCTAAGTCATTATCAATGTTGATAAGACAATTATTTTATATAATATAAATTATACATATCTGACAAAATGTTATTGAATTAATATTGTGTTCATAACACTTATCGGATATTTATAATTTATATAACAGAATAATTCTTTTGTTAATATTGACAATGATCTGTAGAGATTAAAATGTGTTTTATTTGATCATTGTTCAAAATTTTAGCAATTAATATCTTTTAGTTTAACTCATAGCTATTTGTCATTTTGATCTTTATTTACTCTTTTAGTTTTTTATCTAGATTCTATATCTAGGTTCAATAAAGATCTATTTTAAGTCTCTTCTTAAATTGTGATAAAATACATATTTATTTTATGTAAACTGTTCATAATAAAATGTTATATATTGATCATATTTCTTATACAGAAATATTGTTAATATTAATATTTTTTAAAACATTTTATTGCCTTTATTTTAAAGAATTAATTAAATTTTCATTAAAATTGAATTCTATGATATTAATGAATTTATAGAATCTGTTATTTATGATGTTCATTTATCATTATATGAATGGAAAATTTAACAATATAAAAATCAATAATTTGACGAATTAATAAAATATGTTACAATATTAAACAATGACTCTATTTGCACAGATCCTTAATCAGATTTAATATTGGATTTAATAATATCCATAATTATGAAACTGTCAATTATAACTATTCTTCTGAAGAATGAAATGACTGATTCATGTAATTATTGTTGTTATTAAATCTTATGAAAGTTTGCTATATAACATGTATTCTCGTTTTATAGAAACCAAATATTATTGTAGTTGTATATGTTCAATAAAATATCATTGTTGTATATTTTCTTGTATGTATGTATGTGTGCATGCGTGCGTGTGTATGTATATATATGTGTGTACATACTATAAAAGATACATACATAAAGAGATATGATTATTACATATAATTTATGTGTAAGTTTATATTTACATTTTAAATACATAGGTTTGAATTGATATTTTTCTCAATTGTTATATATTTATACTATGAAATTAAACAATTATAAAAAGGAAAAATTTCTATTATTTTTAACAGAGGTCACATCTGCCATTGCTGATGAACGTATGAAAAAATTAATAAAATGGAGAGAGGAACGTAACAGAAAAAAGAAGCTGGAAGCTACAATGAAAAAACCAGCTTTCAAAGTTGGTGTTGTTCATCATTCCTTATGTTCTCCAATGATCAAAAGTGGCACAATTGCAAAAACATCAAACAAAATAGAAAATTCGAACTATATCAAAAAACGAATTACAAGAGCTACGGAAAAACGATTGATTGCTAAAGCAGCTGCTCAACAAATGGTAAAGGATTCAACTTCGGTGATAAAACATCCCTTTAAAACCATGACTTCTTGTACCAAAAAATCATTTGCCCCTGTTGATTATTGTTTTAAACCTCCATCTGGTTTGCAGAAGATGCCTCTATTTGGTCTTGTACCAATGAAAGGAACGCCACAAGAGAAATATCCATCATTACAAACACAAACTTCTAATATTACAGAGATTTTTAAAACTCCTACGCCCAAGTTATCATTAAATAAACAAAAGTCGTCACAGAAATTAAGTGAATCGATTGTTCGAGATCCGGACGAATTAAATACAATTGAAGCAATAGGAGTATCATTAAAAGAACAGACAGAGAATCAAACAGATTCCTTACACGAAAAAAATTCTTCATCAAGCAGTACTGATACAAAAATACCATCAAAGATTACTTCAACATCTTTTGAGAAAGAAAATTGTGATATGGAAGATCTTATTTGCTTTTCGCCATATCTGACACGAACCCGTGGCAAGAGAAACTCTAGAATAGAGGGACAACAACGGTTGGGTATTGGTCGTCGATCTGATGAAATTCCAACCAAAGATACTGTTATGAAAAATTTAAACATATGTGTGGAAGAGGAGGAACGTACTGCTCAGTATTTCATGCTTATTGTGAATAAAGAAACTGATAGACTTAAGGAACTCTGTAAGAAATGGTTGGATATTGGAGTAGAAAAAGATGTCCCAGAAGATGCTGTGTATGAAATACAACAAGCGGTAGGACAAACAAATTTATTAATAAATAAAAAATTTGAAAGATTTCGTGGCTTAGTACAAGATTGCGAAACTGGTAAAGGAGAAATGCTGGTTACATGCAAAGATTTGCAAGGATTTTGGGATATGACGTACATGGAAGTCAAGGATTGTGACATGCGATTTGAAAAATTACAGCAACGTCAAAATAGAGGATGGCAGGAAGAGGAATACATTATTGTCAAGCCTGCTGTTAAAAAACGAATGGCTATTAAAAAACGAATTGTATCATCAAAACCAAGTTCATTACGATCGTTAATCCTAGCTGCCAGAAAAAACATGGAAGAAGGAATATTAAATAAAGACATTATTTTGTCGCAAGATACACATTTAAGTGAAAAACCAAGTAATAGAAAATCTTTTACTGAACTTCGTGATGAAAATACCAATATTCGACGTAGTATAAATAGATCCCATGATCTTAATGAAAAAAAATCAACTCCTACTCGACGTGAAAGCTCTACTAGAGTAAGTTCGATACAGAAAGTGCAATTTTCTGACAAAATTAAAAGAATGAAAAGTCCATTTGCAGCTATGAAAATAAGTCAAATGTGTAAGACACCCGAAGTTGAATTAGATGACACAATATCGTATGTTAATTCTGATCAAACGCCGGGCAAAAGCATATTAAAGAAATCAGAAGAATTAGAAAATAAGGAAGCACGCATAAAATCTGCGCATAAAGTCAATTTTGATGATCAAGTATTTCTTAATAACATCCCTCTTAATGAAGAACAAACTAAATTAAGTTTAGCTGCTGCATTAACTAGAGTAGATAGTTTAGATAAAATAGATACATTAATATCACCACCCATTAATGTCGAAAAACGATTAGACTTTGAAGATTCTGATAGTAACGATGATCTGAACAAATTAGAAATTAAAATAAAAACAAGAAAACAAAATAAATCTAAATCATCTATTCAAAATACTTTAAATACTATTGAGCATCTATTTAATGACATACCTTCAGTATCCATTAAAGAATTATCATCAATAACAGATAACAATGAGAAGATTGTGTCATCTAGAAAAAGCCTAAGAAAGCGAGTTCAACATAAGGACATACCAAATAGGAAAAGTGTAGATACTTTATTTTCTTCTTCAACATCAGTTAACAGAGATGACAAAATGGCCACTACTACTGAAATAATTTCAAAAGACATGGAAGATGTAGATTTAGGAATGAAAGTACTTAGAAATAGAACTATCCTGGCAAATAATACTCCTAAAAGTAATAGAAGTAGTAAAATGGTAAGCTATGTTTTTTTCTTCTTTCTTTAAGCCTACATTACATCTCTTATGGTGCACACATTAATTATTCAATTGCCACGAGCATGAGATTTACAGTTTTAATGCCGGTTCCGAACAGTAAATTTTTTTGAGAGATATTTCTATAGACAAGATACTCTTGGTGATTGCCGACTTTTTCTGAGAGGAAACACAAGCATAAATATTTTGGTTCCTATTAGAATCGAATCCGGAACCTCTGGCATGATAGACCAATGCACTATCTACTATATCATGCTCGCGCTCTTATGTTTTTTAATATCTTTTCAATACAATCATTCATAACTTGATATTAAATATAAACTAATTATTTCAAAAATATTTTAGTAAGAACTTTTTGTATAATTTTTTTATATCTGTTTATATATGTATTAACATATTTATAATTTATTAATTGAATAAATAATAATTAAGAGAAATATTTTTTTAGATGACGCCGAAAAAGACAAATATTGACAAAGAAGAAAATAGTCCGGTGAAATTAACTAGAAAAAGCTCATTAAAATTACTGAAAAAAAACAAAGATGAACATATGACACTAAATACAAACGATACAATGCAGATAGAAAATGTAACATTGATAGGCAATACTTCTAAGAAGAGATCACTCCGAAATGTTGCATTTGATGGTAAAACTTGTATATATTATTATATTTCTTTTGGTACACATATATTCAATATGCAATATAATCATATTTTGTTACATAGAAACTTGTGTGGCATGTGCCGAAAATAAACCAGTATTACCTATGACTCCTTATTCAAAACGTCGTAGCAAGACCCCCTCAAGACACTCCCTCAAGAATCGGAACAAATCGATTGATACATTTGATGAAGATCTTATATCATGGGACACACCAGACAAAAAATATCGTAAATTTTAATAATATATAAAAAGCGTAATAGAAAATATAATACTTATATAAAAAAAGAATTAATCAAAACTCATTTGTTTCAGGTCATCGCAGGGTTACTAGATCATCTTATTCAGATAATTTGTAATATCTTTTCATATATTATAACATTTATATGTTGTGTTTATATAAATTGACATAAATTGATCATATTATATTATAAACGTTTTACATATTACGACATCTAAGATGTAATATATACATGTAATAATTGTATTATAGAATATTTCATTTATTTTTTATGTTTCCATATAATATAGAATTTGTTTTAACACGTTTTCGATTTCATATCAATATTTTGAATTTATTGGTATTTGAATTTATTGGTATTTACATAGTCTATAAACTTTTAAATATTGATAATTCATAAACGATTGTAAAATTTCATAAAAAAAAAAGTTATAGAATAAAAAAAGAAAAAGATTGTAAATAAAAAAATAAATAAAATTGTATGTAAAACTATTTATAAGTGAATGATTTAAAATTAAATCTATGGTTGCTAAAATTGAAAAACCAACGAAGTGAAATATTGACGATAATTATTAAATCATATTTATCTTTAATTGTTATTTTTATTAAGTTATTATAAGACTTATTTCATATTATATAACTCGAGCAATATATTAAAAAAACCATTAATATATTTGTGTTATTTATATTTATTAATCGTTCAAGTATTATTTAATTCTATATAATTTTTTACGGAAATATTCAACAAAAAATATTCAATAAAAAAATAAAATTGGTTAAACCAATAATCAAATTGGGAAACAAATCTAATAATAAAAAATTAGTATTGATCGAGGCAAATAAATATCAATATTAGTGCTCTTCGCATTATTAAAAAAAAAAAGGTAAAATCTAAAATTCTAGTGCAATAAATTCCTCATTGTAGAAATGAAATTTTGGAATATAATTTTACATTATGTAAATAATTTTTTACTATAAGATTTTAGTTTATACATTTAGATCCAGAAACTCCTACCAGAGAGAAATCTGAGAGAGAACATAATAAGGGCCTTTTTTCTGTAATCGCAAATTGCTTCCGCGCACTACTACACTCTAAACAAGTGAATGTATGAATATTCAAACAAGTTAATTTAGTGAATTTTGTCCTATAATACGCGTTTACATAAAAATGGAATTGCGAAGTAATGTTTTTTTATGCAAATTTTCAGCCCCTTTTTATCAAACATAATTACTAGTATGTAAATTTATTTCAAAGTCTTTATAATCACTAATCACTAGCAATTAATAGAATCTTTGAATATACTTCAAACTTTCAATTACATATTGTTAAATTTAAAGATTTAATGTAGCAAAAACTAGAGGTCCTCCATTCCCGCCGATTTCATCAGCGGTTCTCTTTGTAAGCATACTCGCCCAAAAAATAAGCTACAATAAATTTAATAACCCGTTTTTGCACGTAAGTATATTTTTAATTTATTCTTTTTATTTTTATGTCTAATTATTTTATATTTTTTGCCAATCATATTGCAATAACTTTTTTTATATCATCTTTTATTGTAATTCTTTATACAATTAAATACTACAATTATAATAATTGTTTACAATTCAATATACAATTACAAATATTGTGTAATATCTTTTAGTTTCGTTATACTTATTTTTTTATTTTTTAAATAAAATTTAATTACCCGATGGCGAAATTTATTTGTTATTTTATTTGTAATAATTATTTTTTTTATGAAAAATGTTATATGATTGTTATCTCTACCTATTCATACTTGTCCTACCTATCTGTATTTTCATTTATTCGTGCCTATTTGCGTATCCTATCTCCACTCATATATTTCTACCTACATTACTTTATAATGTGTAATAATACTGAGAATATAATATATTAATGGTTGTGTTCGGTAGAGAAAACAGAAAAAGAATTTTGCAAAATTCTTCGATACAATTGGTTCTTTTTGGTCCCTTATGAATTTAAATGTATAAACTATAAATCAATCATATTGAAGAATTTTACAACAGTTGCAAAGTTGCTTTCTCTGCTGAACGCAACAGCTAATGTCTACCATGTCCTATCGCATACTGATAAATTCAGCGGAAAAACCTAATCGCGATATATATCATACTAATAATAAATGAGCCATAAATAATAATAATTAAAACAGACTTTCAATTTTTTAAGTATAAAAATATTAACAAATAACAGGATTGATGAAAGTCAGCGCAGATAATCAAGATCAAATTTTGTAGATTTTTTTAATTTATCAAACTTGCGCTTGATTATCTGCGCTGACTCTCATTAGTCCTATTGTTTGTTAGTTTTTTATATTTTAAATAATTCAAAAAATATAAAAACTCGCAATTTGCGAGCAAATTATCCTCCCGAATATTCTGTTTCTTTTAAAAACTTAGATTGGTGTTACACACCTACTTCGTATAGATTCTTTTTTCTGAGCAAATTGAACTCATCTTTCATTATTCCAATATTCTGGCTTTATATGTCAGAAATCGATAATAAGGAAAAATATCCTTTTTGCTGCCGATTAACATTGTCGGCAATAAGCGTAAGATTTTACGCTTTTGTATAATGCGCGAAATACGAACGCGTCGCGAAGGGACCGTCATATTAATGAAATTGACTAAATATGAACAATTAATAATAATAATAATTCTATTAACATAAATTTCGCGTTTATTCGAAATTAAAAATATAAATATTTGACTAAAAATAAAATTAAATTTAAAAAATCTTTAAGGTTCAACAATGTTTTGATTTCAAAAATCTTGAATATTATGAAAGAATAAATTCTTAATATAAACATTACTATATAAAGAATAGAACTTTAATTTAAAAAGAAATTGAAAATTATTAAATCGATTGCGATCTGATAAAATTCAAGGCTCACTTACGTATATTTTTAACGATTTGAACGATTCGTTGCTGAATCTCATCTCAAAGCATGCGGAGATTGCGGAGATGAAAAATTCAGATGAATAATGCAAAATCCAAAAAGAATAATTTTCCCTCACAAACACAGAAAAATACGCAAGTAATAATAATTTTTTCCAAGTATTTCAGAAGTTCATGTATCCACAAATCTATCAATTTCATCAGAAGCATTAAATTTATTCGAAATATATTCTGAATCTTAGCAAGTTTAATACTTCAATCACGTTTATTAAATTAAAACAAATTCGATATGCTCTATTAGATCGGTTCTGTATTAGTTGCAAGCGATCGCAAGTTTGTTGCGACAGCCAATCTAAAGCTTGCATTTTGAATCAATGCTTCATATTGGCTATCGCAACAAACTTGTGATCAATTATAAAAGCTTACGCTAAAATTGGTACATTGAGATAAATAGCAAAAATTAATAATAAAATGTCTTTTATAAAAAATTGACATCAAAAACCATATGATATATGCGTTAATTAAAATATTTTTTATTTCATTAGTAACATGTACTCAAATCAGTGTGAAATTGAAATATCTTAGAAAATAATATGTATTCTACATATATGTATTTTTATATTGCTTTCCTGTATATACACCAACTTATATAGAAAATTTAATCCTGAATGAATAAATTTGAGTAATAGATAGGAAAAATAATATTAATTATAAGGAAAAATAAAACAATATCTACTTATTATACTAATGATATGAATGGCTCTGAAGATAAATAAAAAAGGAGACAAAAATTGTCAATAGAGCCAACGCAGTTAATGATGCGCAAAAAAAAATTTTTTTATTTAATTAAATATGCATACGTTTCGGCCAACGATTTCGATCCTTTTCAATGCAAATGTAAAAATAAAAAACTATTCCTGATACATACATACAACGAATGTTCTATAGATACAATAGTTATTATTACATATTAGCAGCCCATAATCTTAATGATCATCTGGTTATTACAAAAGTCAAAATTTTAAAAAGAGCTCTATACTTAAGGTATTGTATAGCAGTCAATTGTTTGATAAATTAATGTATAAACGCCAGTCATTTTTCGCGGAATTATTATGTCTTCAAACGATGTATCATCAGTTAGATGAACTAACGTTCTAATGATTTTTATGAAAATAATGCGAAGAAATTTAGAAATACGAAATGATAATATTATCGCTCTAATTTTCAAAGGACACAATCACAACTTTTTATTTTTTTCCGTATTAAATTTCTTATAATTCTCAATCGACACAACAGCATCATTCTCGCATGATTCTCATGAAAATCATTAATGATTTATCCAAGTGACGATATATATTGTTTGAATTAAAAATTTTTCATGCATAAATATGTATAAATATCTATAAATAATAAACATATATAAATATTCAAAAAACATATATAATCATATATGAAATATGTCCATATATGTTCATACATTTCTTTTTTTGTAAAATTATTTTTTAGTGTAATAGAAATAATAATAGTAATGTGAAAATATTAAAAATAATTAAGAGAATAATTTTCATACTATTTATTTTTAAAAAATCAAGTTTGAAGAAATATAAGAAAAATTACTTATGTACAATTATATTTAAAATTATACATAATTGTGTATAAATAATTTTTTATACATTTTTCCAAACTTATTTTTTTCTAAAACGAACAATGCAAAAATTTTCACGTTACTATTATTATTTCTATTATATTAAAAAATAATTTTACAAAGAAAGAAGGATGTATAAACATGTATGGACATATTTCATATATGATTATACATGTTTTTTGAATATTTATATATGTTTATATATATTTATGCATGAAAAATTTTTTATCGGAAAGGCATAATAACTCCAGAAAAAACTGACTTTATACATATATTCATTTATCAAACAATTGACCACTGCTATACAACACTTTAAAAGTATGGGCCTCTTTTTAAAATTCTTTTGTAATAAGAAGATTATTATGCAAGATACTATGAACTGCTAATATGTGCTATCTTTAAAATCCGTTATATTTATGTATCAGGAATAGTTCTTTATTTTTGTATTGAAAAGGATGAAAATCGTTGGTCGAAACGTATGCACTTTAGTTAAATAAAAAAATTGTTTCTTTTACACATCGTTAACCACATTGGCTCTTTATTGGCATTTTTTTGT